CTGTATTTTGCTTGCAGTTATACTAAGGCATTGACAACAATAGTAAATAAATCTCTTTGCCAAAGCCCGAGAACTTTGATCTGATAAAGCAGTGGGTTGTCACCCAACAAGGCTGTCAGATGTTAAATGATCACTAATCTTGAAATGTACATGTATAGGCTTACTTTTAGGAACCACTGAGCAGGCATTTCTCATGATTAGGTCTACGTAATGTTCTGATCCCTCCCCTCTTACAAGTCTCTAACTATAAAGTTATTTCTTTAGTAGCCCCTACCCCCAGTTTGTTAAACAAGAGAAAGGCCGCGCGGCCTTTAAGTCCTAATGACCGCGTCCCCCCGCCCCACCACCCTAAGAATTATGAACGCTCCTTATGAACGTTTCTTTATAGTGTTCAAAAAAGGATAAGAACCAGAGATATCACATCCTCGGAGACATTCGGCAGAGCATAAATGTTATACGCCCTTGCAAACAGGGTTAGGTAAGTGGCCCATCAGGCCAGAGCTAAACTTAGCTTCTGTAGCCTGATGATGAAGCAACTAGGAATATCTTTTTATTTCCCCTGGATGAAGTTTCCAGTCCATAGTAGGGTTACCCCAAGTATTTTTACACCTGGGTGGAGTGAGGTATTTTAAGAGTGAGGTCAGTGAGGTGTCTTGCCTAAGAACACAACACAATGACTCCCAGCAGGCCCGTAACCCGGACCTCTTGATAAGCAAACAACTGGGCACCGAGACTTTTACTTCCACTTTTAAGTCTTAAAATATTTAGCAGCATAAGCATTTTACTACACAAAAAAAAATCGATAAGCGGTCCAAAAATATATGTATGAACTATATAGTTTGTTCATGCCAGACGAGTTATCCGGCATAGCCTATCCTCCTAATTGCCTTACATGTATATAAGCCTTGGCACTACAGGAACTTCAGTCCTCGATCGATCTCGAATGTTACAACTCTAGAGTGTTACGTTTTATAGGTTCACGGAGTCCTTGCATGTACTCTACAAAGGGTTCTGTCAAAGGGTTCTGTCCGTTTCTAAGCCGAAAAATTCTATCTATTAAGTTTACTCAATTTACACAGCAACACAGAAACTATCAATTAAGTTCATAAATGACGTCGGTTAACTAACTTTTACATTTATAAAACGTTTGTTAAACGGTAACTTCCTCGAACTGTTTTATCAAGGTTGAGACTGTGTTTTCCGCCTTGTTTGTCCTTGTTCTTCTTCTCGCACGAAAGTTGAACAGCTTGTATTCCGGTAACCAAAAGCTCCTAATGTCCTTTCCACGAATACTGTTATGGATCCTCTTTAGGATACTGCGGATTCGTTCCGCAAGTCGGTCCTGGGTCCAGTACGAATCTTCCGGCCGCTCGAACCACTCATGAAGAAACATTGTCTTGATAACGTAAGAATGAAATCCCCAACTTATCAGATAAGATATTCCGGAAGCTCCTGATAGAATCCTCGAGTCTAACGCATCGTCATCTTCCTCTTCAAGCACAAGCGTCGATTCGTTATTTTTCCTTAGTACTTTGAGAATCTTCACAGTGGCCTTGTGCATAAGTGTTGAGTTTCTGCATATATGTTTCAGCAAAACACCTTCCGCTTTGGAGAACGAGAGTCGCCAACAGGGTCTATGTAATGTACCAGGAATTTGTAGTTTGTAATATAGAAGGAAATTGTACAACGAACGCAGAGAACTCAACAATATTTTACTTCAAGTCCGTAAGCACATGGCAAGAACAACCTACTGCGCATGTACGAAGCGCATAAGGATTCATGGGATATGACAGTCTAGGTGCCCCAGATTCGCCGATAGATGAGGCTATGAGATGATAGCCCATCTCAGTAACTTTGTTCATTACTTCAAATCCGGGGTGAGAACGGTTGAAACGAGTTTGCAAGTCAGAATCTTTCTGCCATCCTCCAACTTTAACACAACACCAAATCGATCGAAATTTCGTAGTGTCTGTATTTTGTACCATTCCACACGAGCTTCAATGTAACGCGAATTTTCCTCAACTCGGTTGTAAAACTGTGTCGGTCCAGTTTTGGATGAAAATCGTATGATTTCTCCGTCAAGGCTTCTCTGACTAATATTTCAAACTTTTCCAGCAGTGTTTTAGGTTTTAATTTCTTGCTTTTTGAGATGTAATTTTTCCAGCGGTGTTCTAGCCTCCCACGCAAACGTTTTTAGGGGTTCGTCACGCGTTCCTACCCGAGGAATGACGAACCCGTAAGAACGTCTGCGTGGGAGGCTAGCGGTGTTCATGAAAGGGGTGAGGTACCTGTACATGAAAATAGCCAGGATCAGGAGCAGATCGGAAAGGAATCTCTTTTACCTCACAGACGCCAATTTTGGAGAGTTCTTCTAAACAGAACATAAAATCAAACTTGTTTGGCCCTTTGACTTTGAGGTCTTCGTAAAAGCTTTCACTGTGGAATACGGTGGTTCTAAAGAGGGGATCGTTCTCGGTGATACTTTCTTCTCCAAAAAATAATGGCCCGTCCGGAACCTGAAGCAGAAATAGGATGATGAATGGGGAAAAAATGGTAGGAACTGAAAAGAAAGCGTTAGAATATGTTGGGCTTTTGTGCCGTGCAATGTGTTTTCACCGCTAGTTGGCGTGACAACATGTTTACAAATCATTTCATCCCCTTTCCGCCGAAGGAAAAAAAAGTCAGCTCCAATCCCGCGAGGGGGAAATAATATTTAGGGGAAATTTTAACAAGCCTCCGTAGTCTTTTACACTTTAATTATTGCAATCGAGGAAGCTGCAAATCAATAGTTATTAAAAAGTCTGTCCCGGGCAAATCTTGGAACTTCTGTATCTTCTATATTTACTACCGGGAAAACTTATTCCCGAAGTCCATATATTTATTTAATAGTCATAGCTTGCAACTGTTAATATTACTGGCGAAGTAAGTTATTTAATATCTCTGGTCATAAACAATGCACGGTTAATATATGAAATATGATGCACAGCACAAACTTTTAAACCAAATATCGTTGAAGAAGTGCCTTCTTAGTCTCATGTGTAGCTTGTTTAGAATAAAGCGAGTTGACCTAATTAAGGGATATATTGGGTGCTATTAAACATGTAGTATAATATCTTAATAAATACAGTCGTTATTATTGCGAACATTTTTCTGATAAACGGTTTCCCACGGCAAAAATAATTTTTTATCAACTGTAGTACATGTATTTCAATCAATTAACATGGTTCATGCAATAGCGTTGTAATATGTTACGCTCAGGAACACGTTCCTTACTCTGTGACGTTTTCCCTGCTGATGCCGTTGTCGTTTTCCTGCTAATAGTCTTCTTTATATAATCATTCTTGTTTTATTTATTATTTTTCCTTTTCATGGAAAGACTTGCGCCTGTAAACCGCAACCAGGCTTCACTTCCGAAAAATTTTAAGTCCGTTCTTTATTATGGCCAATCAGGAATGTCAAATTAAGAGCGAGTGGCCCAATGTCTCCTAATTTGAGGTAATTAATAAACCGCGCCGCCGTCCCTCGGCTCACTCTCTCGCTCTCACTGACGTTTGGCCTCAGCAAACTTGCAGTAAAATAGTGTTTTTTTTTTCTTTTCTTTTCTTTTTTTTTTCAATCTCGTATTTGACTTTCTGTTCCCTCACTTTGTGTTTATGTGTGTGTGTGTGTTGGCTGACTTTTTCTATTTGTTTCTTTTTTCTTTTTTGTTCATTTTCATTTTCAGATACGCACCTGACGCACGGGTAGCTACGCCCTTGATTCTACTCTTTCAAACTCGTTTAATTGGCGAGCTCGCTCAGAATGGAATTGGTAACGACCGTAATTAGTGCGGTAAGGGACAGGGAGAGAGAGGAATACCGTGTTTTCTGTCCTCCCTAAAGCATCTCATCAGCGAATTCGATACACCAATTTTGACACATAAAAAATCGTACTTGGTTCCTTAGCGTGGAGGAATAGAACAAAAGAAACATCGTGATCCCCAAAGTTTTTTTTTTTACGAGCTTGGTGTTTAATAAATTGAAATTGCCCCATTTCACGAGGTAGTCGTGCATTGACAATAAAAGTACGTACAAAATAGTGTGTTCACGAGCAGAGTTGCTGGCTGGTCGAAATCATTCATTAAATCCAAGGAAACGGGCGCCTGGGAGCTTAAGGTGACTCGACTGGATTTTTAAAGAGTATACCTCCCCACTTTGAAAATGTGTGACATTTGTTTTCAATGTTCTTTAAACTTGGATGAGATGTACATTGATGCTTAATCTCGAATCGTCAAGTTTTTAAAAAAATTATCGAGCGTTATCGAGCGGTTTTTAAATAACCGTGAAATTTGCAGGCGTGGACCAAATTACACACAAAAATGGTAAAGAAAGCAGCCGAACGTAGGCTAATCAAATTACTCTTTCTCGCAATCGGCCTAAGCAATCCCCCTCTTTTTTCGTACAAAGTTTCAGGTGGAATCAAACCACTATGAGATGAAGCTGCATTTCCAGACGTTATCGAGTCCCGAAAAATACAAAGGCAAGTAAAAAACGTAATGGTCTCATTATGTTGTCATGGTAATTCTGATGTCCATAAAACATGGATCCACCCAACAAATGTTCATCTTTATATAGTGCAGCTGTGGTAAACGTTTTCCGATATCTGTGTCAATCCCGACGTGGTAAACGCTCAAAGTGGGGAAGTATACTCCGTAAAAAGTCCAGTCGAGCCACCTTACCCAACCACGACGGAGATAGCAACGAGGCTTATTCTACTCAAAACGAAAAATATAAATGAATTTCTTTTTGCCTCAAAAATTCTTATTGGAATGAGGCGTGCATTTTCTATTCTTGGTTTGCACGTGACGTCAGAAACCTTTCCATATTTGGGCATCCGCCATGTTGGCGAATATTTTAAGAATAAAACTGAGGCTGAAATTGTGAAAAGAATATAATTTCGTGCTTTGAAAATCTGTAAATACAATACAATGATATGTTTTTACTTAACTGTATAAGATTATTCCTTTCTCTAAACGGCAAAACAAGCCAACAAACGAAACACTCTCACTAGCGATAGAAAAAGGTTCAATGATGAGTGGTACATGTAATGTAATTGTTCAGCACAAAATATGTACAATGCAAAAGGCATGAACTATAGTGTAGCTATGATTAAGAATATTACAAGAATATTTTCAGCCTAAAATCGGCAGAAAATAGGAATATTCGGCCTGGGCCGGAAAAACAGTATTCTTATATAGTTTGTTGTTGGTTCTCTCCTTTACTCCGAGAGGTTTTTCTCCGGGTACTCGGTTTTCCCCTCTCCTCAAAAACCAACATTTCCAAATTCCAATTCGACCAGGAATCAGGTAGACGAAGAACCACTTTGTGGATGTGCTACCTCCAAATTGTTACTTATTCATTTATTTATTTATTTATTTATTTTTCATTTATTTATTTAAAAAAGGAAGAGTGTACTTCAAACCGGACCCAAACATCAACACATCGAATGTCAAAGAACTACTGTTCCCAGATTTCCAGATTCCTAGACCCACAGATTTGAGTCCTTGAGTGCTAATCCATAACAGGTTTATTTTAATTTACTTTAAGCGCTGTGTTCAAAATTTAGGCTGCTTTATTTTTCGCTTCTGGTCGGGTGCTACGCGGCAGGACCCTGGAACTGCTAACAAACACTGGTCGAGATTTCTTGTCAGAATTTAGCCTTGTGTAGGCAACAATGAAGGAAGTAGACAAAATAAGTAAAAGTAATGCTGAAGGTGATTCCTTAGTAAAAGAACCTAACATAGATTGTAGATGAAACTTGGTACACTGATTTAACAAGTCAAGAAGATGATAAAAAAGTAATAAAAAGTGGGGTCACCGTGCTTGTTTTGACGTCACAATGCTGACAAATACCGCTATTTAGGACCTTTTTACATAAACCGCGGGCAGCCCAAAACTAGACAAAAAGGAGAGTTTTTTCCGATGATGCATGTGGTATCACACAGAATTTGACTTACACGTATTGTTTATCTACTTGCGTACCAGAAAAATGCCTTTTAATGCCCTTGTATTTACTTTACACTCCAGAGTAGAATTAAATTGGACACGCGCTATTCGACCCGTGATAGCTCAATCCGTACAATAACGTACAATTTAGTAAAATTGCCAAAAAACCGAACATAGATTTGTGCCAATTTTTTTCTCATCGAAAGGAAGCACTGTCCTTATTAAAATCATGAAATAAAAAATGGGGGTGCGGTAGAGCTGCAGAAAGTGCGCACCAAATGCATTTTCTCCGATTTTTGAGAGAGGACTGGGGCGAGTGTCAAAATAGAATGTATGTGAAAGGGGGAAGAAAGTATTAAAAAATCCGTTTTTACAGAATCTACATCGAGATATCACATTTAGGACACAATGTGATAAAGAAAGCGTTTACATGAAAATCAAAGTGAGTACGCACACGTTAAACATCCACTATCGAGGTTCTCCGAGAGGAAGTCGAACTCAGCAACACGCGTACTGCTTACGTTATGTACATTCCCAACACATTGAGTCTCACCTCGGCAAGAAACAACAGCAAGCAAAAATTCCAATAGTGTTTCTCTTCAGTCAACTTCATTTTAATAATGTTACTTCACATGCTATTTTTTACGGTGGCCATCTTGTTATGCGCAGTAAGAGATTCGCAGTGCAAAACCAGGGAATCACCTTAAATTTATTGTTTCTACCGAAACTTTTATTTTTTTCAGCTCTGACTCATTGACTCATGACTCATGACTCAGTTGACTCATTTGACTCATAAAACATCCGTTCTCCTGTGATAGCGATAACAATTCTTCTTATTCTTTCAATTTTGTTTAGCTGAGTGACTGTTAATGTAAGATTACCTGTTTTTGTATTGCGCGTTGTGTTTTTCATGTAATGTATATTGTGACGCGGTACATGTACGATGCTCGGCGTCGGGTTTTTGCATTATCAGCAAGTTTTGTATTAAGAGTGTTTTGATGTCAGTGAGGTGACGACAAGAAAAGGTAATGAGTCAATTGTACAGAAGGAAAATTGTTTTGTGGAGGAAATAAAAGAAGATGAATTGAGATCTCGTCGTAGGAATTTATTTGTAACAGAACTGTCTTACAATCCAGTTGGTTTAAAACGCGGTTGTGCACCTAGCAGACTACCGATGAAGAAATTAAAATCTTTGTTAAAGAAATCAAAAACACGGAAGATGAGACTTTTTGTATGGAAGGGAATTCTGAAAAACACACCATTATCGTCTAAAATTCATCGTTACATTAAAAATAGAAATGGTTTAATACTTAAACCGGTACAGAAGTAACTGAAAAAGTGTGAGTTTTTTACTAAGGGCAAGTCCAAAATTAGTTCGAAAACCAGGGAAGGTTTATCTGTCGCCTAAGCATAAAACTGAAGAGCCTATTTAGGTGGGGTAAGGTATCAAAATAGGGTTTCTGGGTTTTAAGGAAGTATTTGTCCCTCTGTACATGCAACTATCCATTGTATAGTGCTTACAAGAGTTTGGTTCACCGGGTTAATTTTGGCTAATTTAAGCTTTCTACTGATATCGAGAAGAAACCAGGACCTTCAGTTTATGTAGATGCTACAAAAACGATTCATGCTCCATACTGTCAAGGAAACGTTGAAGTATTTGGAGAAAATGCAGAACAACAATGTGTTGCAATGAGTTTGTGCGCTTAAATTTACAGTAAGATAAGAAGGATTACTTCAGTCGATGATGTGATTCAAATAATGACTGTTGGTAACCAATTATATTCTAGTCTGTAATTGCTTGCAAGACAATCTATGTTAATGTTAACAGAATTGCCAGAAATGGTTACTGTGTTTTCAGCTTGAATACAGTGAAAGTTATCATTGTAACATGCACGGTGATGCCAGAATTGAGGGGTATCACTACTGTATGCCACTTGAAACGCTCTTGGCTCTGAACTACAGCTCATTCATTTTAACTGTGGGAATTATAGGTGTTAATTCTCATGCTAGGGATATGTATGGTAACAGTCGTAGTCAAGGTGCGAGTGTATTGCTGGAAATACCAACCATGCATAAATTAGTACAATATTTTCAGAGTCTATATACATGTAGGAATGAGGATATATATGAGCGTAAAGGTGTACATATTGCCAACTTTGAAGTTGATCTTGGTTCAAGCAGTGTTGAATACTGTAGTTTATTATATATGTACTGAGATTTACTGCAAAATGAATATGTCAAATAAAAATGATGCATTGCAGAGTACACGCAATCTGATTGGTTGTACGATTTTTCTCACTAGTGAAAAATACCGTATGACCAATCACAACCCGCAGACGAAAGTTTTCACTAGTGACAAAAATCGTATCGATTTTCCCGCCTTTCACTGACGGCGTCACTAGGCAAAAGGAAAACCATGGCGTCTTCTTCGAGCAATTCAAGGTTTGCAGATATAACTTCAGTAGAGGAATTTATTGAAGGACAAGAAAACGAAAACACCAGGAAGAAAACTGAACAGAATGTTGCTTTGCTTAAGGAGTTTTTGAGGCTAAAAGATGAGTCAAGGCCTGTAGAAGAAATTCCCCCACACGAACTGAGTTCATTCATCAGCGAATTTATCATAACAGTAAGAAAGAAAGAAAACAACGAAGATTACGAACCCACTTCCTTGCGTGCTATGATGGCCAGTTTTGAACGGTATTTAAAGAAGAAGAATTACGGCTACAGCATTATGAGAGACGTCGAGTTTGAAAAAGCACGAACGGCATTAAAATCAAAACAAAGAGATCTCAAGAAGAAAGGCAAAGGCGATAAACCAAACGCTTCAGTTCCCCTCACAGAAGACGACATAAAACTGCTGTATGACAAAGGATTGTTAGGAAAGTCAACTCCTGAGGCTCTACTGAATACAGTTTGGTTCAACAACACAGTCTATTTCGGTCTCCGTGGTTGTAAGGAACACAGAGACATGTGTTGGGGCGATGTGCAACTACGCCAAACTACAAATGGCGAGGAATTTTTAGAGTATACTGAGAGACAAACTAAGACTCGAACCGGAGAAAATCCCAGAGATGTCAGGCAAATAAAACCGAAAATGTTTTCGGTTCAGGGAAGTGAAAGAGATCCCGTCACTGTTTACAAATTCTACGCGGAGAAAAGACCGTCGGAAATGAACGACAACAACGCGCCATTTTATCTAGCAGTAAATAACTGTAAAAAACAAGATTCTTCTAAACCATGGTTTAAAAAGTCAGCCGTTGGCGTGAACAAGCTGAATTCGTTAATGAAAAAAATGGCAGAAAAAGCCGGGCTGGGGCCCAATGTAAAGAACCATAGCGGTCGCAAAACAATGATCCAAACTTTAACAAACAACGACATCCCAGCGACAGATATTATTCAACTGTCGGGACATAAAAATCTTCAAAGTGTGACAAATTATTCTGTAGTTTCTGAAAAACAGCAAGTAAAAATGTCTCGTACTTTAAGTGAACTGATGTCCGGGAATGTGCATAGCTTAGAGAAAACTAATTCATCTCAAGTTGGAGAATGCTCCACTGATCCTTCAGCTAGCTCGGCGGGTCGCTCGGCGGCAGATCATCACCAACAAGCGATGTCGCTTTTCACGGGCGCTGTTATTCATGGAGGTCAATTCAGCATTTCTATTAACAGCCTCAATCAATCCCCGAAGTTGGCAATCCAAGAAGTTGAGGTAAAGTCTTCTCCAAAGAGGTACAAAAGGCTAAAAGTACTGGACTCTGACTCTGATTAGAATGCATGCATTACTATAATTAGATTTACAAAACAGTCAACTTTTTCAAATTTTATATCTTAGTTACGGTTTTGAACGGCGATATTTAAAGCTGAAAATTTTCATTGTTATTTAAAGTTAAAGAATCGTTTAAAAGTAGACTTTGTTCCACTTTCTTCAGAGTCATTGAATAACTTTAATGTTGTAGGAAGTTTTGTACGTTCAGTTTGCTCGAATAAAATCATTCGCAACTCGTTGTGGTCTTTGTGTTGATTTCACCGCGCAATTGATAGTTGTTAACATTATTTTGTAATATCTCAGTACATATATAATAAACAAATTACCTCATGGTTGGTTCGCTTGTACGATTTTTATTCACGAGTTGTGAAGAATCGAAAACGAACGAGTGAGCGCAGCGAACGAGTGAGTTTGCGATTCTTCACAACTCGTGAATAAAAATCGTACGCACTCACTAACCATGAAGTAATCTCTATAACCGTTTGATATAATAGTTTATGCCAATGTTCCTGTATTTTGTGCTGTGCTACAGTAGTTTATGCAGTGTGTTACTCTGTTATTAATCCAAGTGGATACAGGACTTAAGGGACTTTATCTGCCCTTGCTAGTAATGGGAATACACTGTACAATGTGATGGGTGTGAAAAGACATATTTTGCCAGTTAATCTTTCTGAAAGTGAAAGTATCAGTGGAACTGAGATAAACCTTACTGTTTGAGCTGTAAACAATGGTGTCCTATGTTGCAATTTGGCTGAGAACAAATCTGTGTTGAATATGTGCATTTCAAAACATTGTGATGAAGTGACAGGATTTTTGTCGTGGATTGGAACATACTGTATAAGCAGTGTAGTTCAGCAAAGAAGTACAGTAAAGGATTTATCTTTTCTTGTGGGATATGATGACAGTTAGGTGAAATAAGACTTGTTAAAAGTATCAAAGACATACAGTCATTAGTTGAAGAAATTTGTAAAATTACACAAAGTAAGTTAAATTATCAAAGACTACAAAATGAAATACACTTTACATTATGCTGATGCAAAATTGAAAGCTGTGAAAGGAAAAAGATTGCGAGGAAACACAGGTATAGTTCATTTGAGTATTGTGAGATGGAACCTCTTAAAAAGAAACATTTAGTGACAAGGAGAAAAGAAAACAGGCAGATCGGGGTATAAATTTTTGCATTGAAAAGTATAAATATAAAATAAGAAAAGGTCCCTGTTATATATATACCCTCCCACAGCGTCTTGTTTTTACTTATTGCCATAGCAACAAATTCTAAATATTTTTGTCCACGCGAGCGACAGACCAATAATAGTAGTCAACAGTTGTACTCCAATTCACGAAAATTTAAATCTACCTAGGAGAATGGCAAGGTTATCCACACAGTTCTCCGTGTTGGTTGCCTTTCTTGCTCGGAAATTAAAAAGTTTATAATCTGGAACCCAGAAACTGCGAATGTCTTTGCGAGCCACACTACTCTGGATCCTTTCTAAAATGCCCTTGATTCGTTTTCCTAGTTTATCCTTCGTCCAATATAAATCTTCCGGAAATTCAGTCCACTCATGTAAGAACATTGTTTTTAATACGTACGAATGGAATACCCAAGTTATGTTGAAAGATCCTGCGTCATCGGCTGGCTGTTCAACGAGAAATAAAAAATGCTCATTTTCCTTCCGCAATACCTTGAGAACCTTGAGCGTCATCCTATGAATGAGGCTAGGGTTTCTGCAGATGTGTTTGAGTACAATCCCCTCTGGGATGGAAAATGATAAGCGCCAGCAGGGTCGAGGTTTACCAGATTCTCCAATTGTAGAAGCCACAAGATGATATCCCCCAGCCACAGCCTCTCTGAACACTTCATAGCCAGGGTGCTCCCTTTTCACTCGTGTCAATATATCTGAAGCGTTCGGCCATCCAGACATTTTGATGCACAAAGTTATCGTTATCGTTATCGGGATCTTTCTGAGCTGAATGTCGACAAGTACAGCCATCTCACCGCCAGAAGGTCGCTTTCTCTTGGCTATTGCTTCCTCGATAAGTTCTTTAAATCTTCTCAAGAGGACACCAGGTTTGAGATTTCCTCGCTTGGAAATGTAGCTTTGCCACCGATTACGATAAACTTCGTTGGCGATCTGAACATCTACGTAGCCGGGATCGGGGACCGGTCTCATGGGAATATCCTTCGTAACACTCACACTAGGACAGGAAAGCTCTTCCAAGCAAATCATAAAATCGAATTCATCGGGTCCTTCGACTTTAAGATCTTCATAAAAACTTCCGCTGGGGATTACAAAGTTTTTGAAAAGTGGATCCTTGCGGCCTATATAGTCAGAGATATCGTCAACTAAACTTCTAATTCTTTTCTCGATTTTCTTCACCTCCTTGTGCTTTCTATCAAACTCCGCTTTTTTGTAAAGGCGTTGAAATTCATCTTCCCCGAAGTTACGCGTCATTTTGGTTGTTTACCATTTATAAAAAAATTACGGAAATTTTGGTTGGGAATTTTCGTTCAGTGAGAACGGTACGTGCTGTTTACCATTTGCCTAAAATTTCCGTATTGTCGCGCCGCGCTAGACTGGATTCTAGTTACAACATGAAACTAGTATGAAGAAACTTGTAAATGATAAACGAATTTCCATTCGGAACGTCTCAACAGGGAAAACGGGACTACCTTTTCAAAATTTCCGTTTGTTCTGGGAATTTTCCAGTGAGACGAATTAAAAAAACGTTTACCATTTACATCCCAACAGGAATTTCCGGGAATTTGTGTTAAATGGTAAACAACCTTTGAGTCACGTACAAACTTTTCAGCCAACTTTGAGCGATGCCCATCACTTCCGGGTTTTTACTGTAGAGCCCGCAGTCAACTTTATAAGCGGCCGTTGCAAAAAGCCGAAAGTCGATACGCGTGGAGCCAGGAGGGAACGTGAAACTCCCGAAAGCCAGCACTAACTCCGGCAAACGTACCTTTGTTTTCCTCGCTCCTAGTGAATGGAACTTGCTACCGGATAGTGTTAAAACCTCAACATCGCTTTCCTCGTTCAAAAGAAACTGTTTGAAGATGGCCCTCTCCAATCTCAAAGAAGTCTGATTCTCTTTATACAGACTCGTACATGATGTCCATAATTAGTCATTCTTATGTAGAGGTGCCTCTTGTATTCTGGTGATTCCCTTGGTGATCATATTTTATAATATTTATATTATGTATATAAATACATATATTTTTATTGGCATGTATTTATCCTTTATTAGTATTAGATTATAATTATCATTATTGTAATTATTTCTTTTTGTTTTCCTTTTTTTTTCTTTTTTAATTTAGCAGGACTCGATAAAAATTACTTTGTGTAATTCTGGTTTTCACCCTGTCTTGTTTTTGTTGTTGTTGTTGTTGTCGTTGTTGTTGAGAAGTTACTTGAAGTAACGGTCCATTGGGCATGACACAAGCACCCAGTCGCCGTCGTTATGGCTTTATCAATAGAGACCTTTAGGGGCTGTCCACAATTGTTGCTCGGGAACCAGTGCCTGGGTACCGGCACAAAATGGTGTTGTGTTCACACTTTGAGTACCCGATACGTGAGTGTGTACATTAGTTACTCCATTTCGCCCTGTCAGCCGCCATTTTGAAACTTGAGCTTAGCAGCGAGAACAAAGCAGTGGATCGGACTGCCCAGAACTTACAAAAAATATGTGCACACAGGGACCCGGTGCCCACTTTTGTGCCCGAATTCTCGCGTGGGTATCCATCCTCATGTCCTCGAGGAATCATCAGCCCAAGTCGCTCCCTTCCTAAAGTACATCTTTCAGAAGTCTCTTGAACCAAGCAAGCTTTCTAAAGATTGGTGAGTAGCCACCATTTGCCCAGTCTACAAGAAAGGGGACAGATCATGCCCAAACAATTACCATCCTGTGTCACTAACAAGTGTTGTCTGTAAAGTCCTGGAACACATAGTGTGCTCAAACATTATGAACCACCTCGATCGATCCACCTGGGTTGGTAACGAATAGGCTACATGCCTTCCATAAAGGCCGTAGCTGTCAACCTCATCACCAGGGCGCTTTTCCCTGGCTTTGGAGGTGGGACCCCACCTCCAAAGCCAGGGAAAAGGGCCCTGGGGACGAGGTTGCGTAGCTGTACCACACAATTATGTACAGTAATACACGACTGGTCCAAAACTATTGATCAAGGTCTCCAAACTGACGTGTTCATCCTGGACTTCGCAAAGGTTTTTGACAGTGTGCCCCACGAACGTCTTAAAGCGAAACTCTTTCGCTACGGCATAAACGGTAAAACAATAGCATGGATCAACGAGTGGCAGTCAATGGATCAAAACCAGATTGGACGCCAGTCGTATCAGGTGTTCCTCTAGGAACAGTTCTAGGACCGGTATTATTTAATATATTCATCAATGACATGGTGGATGAGGTAGAATCGGAAATCCGACTATTTGCAGGCCAGTCGCAAACGTCGAAGATTGTGAAAAACTCCAAAAGGATATCGATCACCTAACATTTTGAGCCAAGAAATGGTACATGCACTTTGAGCCAAGCAAGAGCAATATAATGCGCATAACTCGGAAAACCACGCACAAGATCACTTATCAATACACTATGGAACACACGAGTCTGGAATCTGTCCAGCACACGAAATATCTCGGAGTTAGGATATTAGATGACCTTAGATGGAACAGCCATTAAGCAGATATAACAGGCCGAGCCAACAAACTACTTGGTCTCCTTAGACGGAACCTTTCAACAGGTGACAGAAGAGTAAAAGAGGCAGCCTACCTTGGCCTAGTAAGACCATTACTCGAGTATGGGAGCCAAGCATGGGATCCATATACGGAAAACCTATCAAACGAGATCGAAAAGATAAAGAGACGCGCTGCGCGTTTTGTAACATCTGATTACAGGTGTCACTACGCTTTTAAAGGACCACGGTTGGAAGTCTCTAAAGAACAGGAGAGAAGTAGACAGACTCTGTCTTCTCAAAAAGGGATTAGATATAACGCAATCCTGCCCGTAGATGAATTATCAAAGCCGGCCAGAAAGACAAGACATATGCACAATAGATATTACACCACAATTTATGCTCGCACTAACATATTCAAATTCAGTTTTGTGCCACGCACAATTAGAGATACCACATAATGTTGTAAAAATTGCGGACGATGCTAAGTTCCGCAAATTAATGCTATTTGCGATTCTCTAGAAATCCGCTGACCCGAGATGTAAATAATATCATTCACTCAATGAACGAGGCTACATCAAATAAATAAGTGAAGTGAAGTGAAGTGAAGTGAAGTGAAGTGGGTACTTGAAAAAAGGGTGTGTCCACATCAGTGCCCAACGAGTACCGTACTAGGGCACCTTGCCCGGGCTTTAAGGATGAATGCTGCCTTAGGGTGCGTTCACACTTAGTGCCAGGGCACTAGTGCCCGGAGACGGGTACAAAATGGTGCTCTGTCCACACACTGGGTACCAAAATTGTTTTTTGTCTACTTTGCTCTGTCAGCAGACGCCATTTTGCAAAAGGAACGTAGCAAAGAGTTATGGGTATGCGAAGATTTTGATTGTGGGTAAAACTGCCTCGGAACCAACGGGAAACAGGTGCGCACCGTGACAGGGACCCGGTGCCAACTTATATCTTCAATTCATTAATACTCGTCAATCACAGATTGATAATCTGTTTGTTAAATCTGTTCATACCACTCAATACGGCATTCGTTCTCTCACTTACACTGGTCCAAAACTTTAGAACACTATTATTGATTCCTAATGTTTTACGATTATATTATGTTAACTACTATTTAATTAATGAAGTAATACTTTTTATCTAAAATAACTATTTTGTATCTATATTCCTTCTACTCATATTCTTGTTTGGATAACCTACTCGGTTAGTTCCACAAACTATTTAGGTGTCCCAAGCTCTGCACAGTGAACCTACAATTGAAATTGTCTTTCCCTTCACAATCTCTCGATTTTATATCTTAAAACACTAATTTGTATTAATTATTATTCTGTGTGAGTTTAAATAAAGATTGACTTGACTTGACTTGACTTGATTTACGTGTAAGTGCCCGAGTACAAGGTCGAGACCTTTTACTCGAGCACCGGTACCATGCCCGGATTCTGGCGTGGCGTACTTAAAAAAGGGTGTGTTCACATTAATGCCCAGCGAGTATCGTACTCAGGCACCAGTACCCGGGAACCAAGTGTGAACGCACCCTTAGATTCTAAGACGAGGTCGACTACGAGAACGAGATTTTCCCAATACTAAGTAGTGCGCGCGCGAACCAACGTCATTTTGGCGGGAAAACGTGATAGACATCGTCATTCTCTAAGGGTTTTAGCGAGCATGTCGTAGTGGCGAAAACAAGGTATCAAATCAATATTAGGAATTTTATCATTTAGCGATACCGTAAATTTCCCATAGTAACGACCCTCGTTACTTTCGGAATTAGCAGCCTTTGAGGCTCGTTGATTTCGGGGAGTCGTTACTCTCAGAGGGTCGTTATTTTCGGGGACCAAAAACCCATGAAACAAAGTTTTGGAAGAGTTAGCGCTAGCTCTTTTCCGAAATGAAGAATAAACAACATAATATTTAAAAAAAAAAAATTGTGTTACATTGTATGTGTAACAGAGATACCTACGTACTAAATACAGCAATACTCTGATAAAAAAAAACAAACAAATAAACAAAACAAAACAAGAGCAATGATTAACAAATGAGAAGGAATTCATTTGTCCAGTTTCGCGTTTTTGTCCGCCACATTGGTGGGCTCTGGATATATAACCTACCTATATTGTGTTGTCACTTGTCTGGGCGAGTTGTACTAGGTTGCCTTTCAGTTCTTTTCTCAGACTTTTAAGCCCTCTTTTGACATCAATTTGATAAAAGCAAGGACTCCCGACGGCTCCTCCCTGCACCCATACACCTTCTGGTGCATTCCTACTTTGTCCGGACACATGGCAATTCATCTTGATTTCCTTTTCCAGTAATGGTTTGTGCAGGACCTCCGCCAAGCTATCAGGCACGTGTCCAACTGTAATCGCATCTCGTTCGCCCTTTTTGTTTTTCATCTTCACCACTATTGCGTTATGCGAATATGCGTTGGAAGGTTCGGGAATGCAGCTGCAGACATCATTCGTTCGTGGATTAGTGCGATAGTAATGATCTCACTTGATACGTGAAGTAATTGTGCAAAATCTCGGCTGTAAGTTGAAGAGCCTTATTGTGATACATTTGAAAATGCACGAAGATATTAGTATTGTACATTAAAAATTTGACTATAGATTGCAGTTGGAAAACAATAAAGGCATTAGGTATGTCTATAACGTGATCAAAAAAACTTAGTGTCGATACTTTTTGAGGACTCGCTACTTTCGGGGACTCGCTATTTTCGGGATTTATTAGAAGTCAGAAACTGTACATGTTGACTTTACTTTCGGGGGTCGCTACTATGGGAACTTTACGGTATAAATGGGGAGAGGGCTTCACCTCCTTCAACGAAAATAAGCGTACTAGCTTTTGTGGTGAAAAAATGTACAATTAAGCTTTCCAGGCGAGAAAACTTAAAATTAAACGTCGTCCTCGTCCTTGTCCTCGAATCTAAGGCTATCTAATTTTAGACGGACCTATTGGCCTACTTATGCCAGGCATTTGTCAGGCTGTGTCATTAATTCCTCAATGATAACTTAGAAAAGGTTTAATTTGTTGGACGGACGGTGTAAAACCTTAAAACCATTGAGAATCACATGCTAAGAAGAAGGCAACTCGGCACCAAAGTAGGGGGTGGGAGAACAGAAGGAAGAAAGGAAAATGGCCAAGAGGGAGAAAAAGGAAATGATAGGAGTTGGGGGAGATGGATGAGGGGGTGATTTTAAAAAAAACTTTACGTGATGGCAGCAGTATTTTGTCTCACCACTGGTCCTGGGCTGAAGAAATGAATACTTTCCGAAGAATATAAGGAGGGCACCTTGAACAATCACATTTCTTATGTCGTGGAACACCATCTACATTCTTCCACCCCCTTACATACAGATCAGCTGACAGATTCTGGAGAGGTAGTAAATGTGTAGAAGTAAACGTTTTCGCTGCAAATGGCGTTGCCCAGAGAAAGATGTGGCCTCGCTTGGTCATCCGAGCTCGATCTTCGCTGAAAGAAGTCACTCTTTGTCTTCGATACAAATGTAAATGCTATTAATCCCCATAACCATCATAAGTCTTATAAGTAACGGTTTTCCAAAACTTAACACAGTAAAAACCACGGATAAAAAACGACGTTTCGACCGATCTTCGGTCATTGTCAAGTAAGTACAAAAAAAGAAAAGTTAAATGAATTTGCAAATATATGTGTAAGGCTCTACTATCTCACGCTTCATTGCCACAAACGTTTCTGATCAACCTGTTTCATCGCCCGCGGCTGTTTTTTAATCATCTGACCCTGTTCGTGTCATTATACTATTGAAAGAACAGTACTCAGCTGACATAGTGTTCCACATCAACTTCGGGATTTAAGTAACAAAATTCACACGACCGTGTCTCCAGTGTTTGTCAGCCAAAAGATTGAGCGCGATCTTAAAACGCGAGAAGCTAAGCCACCTCTTGTCAACCAGCAATGTCTTGTTTACAAATTTGAATGTAACCTGTGCGATGCAAGTTATGTTGGTTACACATCGGCTCGCCACTTACACCAGCGAATTGAGGAACAAAAAAGTGCAAGTTCATCCATCGGCCAGCACTTTCGTGTTAAACATTCTTCAGCACCTAAAGATCTTAGTAATAATTTTAGCATTTTAAAGAAGTGTAAAAGCAAATTTGACTGCCTGGTGTTTGGAATGTTTTTTATTCATGAACTGAGACCTAGTCTCAATGTACAATCAGACTCACTTAGTGTAACAGTTTTAAAATAGTTCTTTTAATCAGATTCTATTGTTGTTCTTTTTCTGAATGCTTTATTTCATTCTTTTATCATTTGCAAGCATTTTTACAGTTCTTAACATATTTTTACACCTTACACATATATATGCTAATTCTTTTAACTTTTTTTTACTTACTTGAAAATGACCATCCTCGGAGACCCAGGGGCAGTTAGTCGGGTCGATAAAATGTTCGTGGTGAAAGTTTACTGTACGATCGTGACGATCGTACAGTAAACTTTCACCACGAACATTTTATCGACCCGACTAACTGTCCCTGGGTCTCCGAGGATGGAAAATGACCGAAGATCGGTCGAACCATCATAAGGCTCTTCATTTCGCGCAACAAAACAGTTTGGTTAATATTACGATGCCTCTGGGAAACACTGCGATGAGAAGAACGGGGAAGCCATCAGTGCATCGCCTTTCATAGATGATGCAGTACAATCAGTGATCATGTTTGAACAAATGAAGGATTTTATTCATTTAGGTTATTCTTGGAGCTTCTCTCACATGGTGCATCTTTAATGGGTGCACCTTCAACAGAAATCATTGACTCTTTAAGATGATTGGTCAGATACCAAGAGATAGCATCACCGAACTCTCTGTTCCTGTAAATTGCTTGAAATTAGACTTGTTTCTAAGGTATTGACAACAATAGTAAATGAATCTCTTTGCCAAATCCCAAGAACTTGGACCTAATAAAGCAGTAGATTGTCACCCCAATTGGCTGTCAGATGCTTAAAGATCACGAATCTTAAAATCTACTGTGCAGTTCTAGTGGAATACATGTAGGCTTAATTTGGGAACCACTTAGTGGGCATTTCAAGGTTTCCAACCTCATGATTAGGTCGATGTAATGTTCTGATCCCTCCCCCCCCCTTACAAGTCTCTGCCTATTAAGTTATTTCTTTAGTAGCCCCTACCCCCAATTTGTTAAACAAGAAAAAGGCCGCGCCGCCTCAAAGTCCTTATAACCGCGTCCCCCCCGCCCCGCCATGAATTATGAGCACTCCTTCAGTAATAAAAACCAGTTATCAAACGTGGGCGAAGCAAGTGAACTGAGTATCGTGACATTTTTTCTCAAATAAGTATAATTCGTTTATTTCTTGTCCTGGCGCTTTATCTCTTTAAACAACCGTTACGGTAGTATTAAAGTGACAAAAGTTGGAAAGAAGAAGATTTACTCCTCTGGCCTTACTCCACCTAAAGCTAGAGACGTAAGTCAAGTGAACTCGACTGGAAAAAAGGGATATATTAATTTAAAATAATAATGAATAGAAAGAAGTTTTTTAGAAGCTTTTTCCTTCGCAAAGTCTTAAATTTATAACCCTACTAGAAGTAGCTTACTTAGTGGGGGCGATCATTAGAACTTTTTCAAGTAACACTACATAATATTTGTTTCTTTATTTTGTTCCAAGAAAGGATAAATACGAGAGCATATGTGTTATACGCCCTTGCAATGTGGGTTAGGTGACGTCTGCATTCAAGTGGCTCATCAGGCCGGAGCTTAACTCAACTTCTGTAGCATGAAGCAACTAGGAATCTCTTTTTATTTTCCAAGGATGAATTGCCAGTCCATAGTAGGGTTACCCCAAGTATTGTTACACCTGGGTGGAGTGAGGCATTGTAAGATTGAGATGTCTTGCCCAAGAACACAACACAATGAACCCCAGCAGGCCAGGAACCCGGACCTCTTGATAAGCAAACAACTTAGCACCGAGACTCCCACTTTTAAGTCTTAAAATATTTTGCAGCATAAGCTTTTTACTAAACAATAACAATCGATAAGCGGTTTGGGTGTGGTGTTCAGTTGCGAAATTTCTGCTTTTTAATGCGGCGCTCATTCTAGGAAAGCGCTCTTATGGGGATAAGGACCTGAAACACGTAAAGTGTCTTTACTGAAATAAACGTTTAAAAATTCCGCTTGGGAAGGAAAAATCGGCTCATAAATATTTCTTGAAAATGTCTCAAAACGCTCGGTTCTCTCGAGATCTCAACACTGCTCGCGTACCTAAAATAACTACTCACATTATACACTTCCAATTTATTGCTCTTTCAATCATGCATAACGCAAATACTCCCAACCATAAACAGTTTTATAGTTAGAATAAACGGTAAATATGAAATAGAAAAATATATTTGCACTAAGAATAAGAATTTACAAAAATTAATGGGCAAATGGACTTTGTAACCTAGTTAGTTATCTTCTTTTACAAAAATGATTAGGTTCTTCTTTTATGAATAGCACTTGTAAAATAACAGTAGGCATTACCTTGTGTGGTGATTGTGGAATTACACCTGTGCTTATAGGTGTGTATTCTGTTTGTGCATGTATGCTTTGTGATAATAATTGTAATTGTTGTACTTTGGAATAACAAATGAAATTTTGATAAAAATCATGCTTAACGCGCGTGATACATCCCTGCAATACGGCATTAGCATTTTTTGCCAAAAGTAAAAACATCAGAGTAGGATGTCCGAGCCATAGAAAAAAAATAAATGTATGAAATATATAGTATGTTCATGCCGGACCCGTTATTCCGCATAGCCTATCCTCCCAATTGCCTTACATGTATACTATAGCCTTGGCACTACAGGAACTTCCTCGACGTCGAATGTTACAACTCTCGATTGTCATGGATAGGTTCATGGAGTCCTTACATGTACTCTACAAAGGGTTCTGTCCATTTCTAAGCAAAAATTGTATCAATCAAGTTACTCAATTCAGATCGACTGATTAGCTTTTAACATAGCTAAACATCTATCAATTAAGTTCATAAAGCACGTCGGTTGATTAACTTTTACATTATAAAGCTGTCTCGAACTGTTTTATCAACGAAGAGACCGTGTTTTCCGCCTTGTTTGTCCTTGTTCTTCTTCTTGCACGAAAGTTGAACAGCTTATAATCTGGTAACCAAAAGCTCCTAATGTCCTTTCCACGAATACTGTCACGGATCCTCTTTAGGATACTATTAATCCGATCCACAAGTCGGTCCTGCGTCCAGTACCAATCTTCCGGCCGCTCGAACCACTCATGAAGAAACATTGTCTTGATAACATAAGAATGAAATCCCCACTTTATCAGATAAGATATTTCGGGAGCTCCTGATAGAATCGAGTCTAACGCATCCTCTTCTTCCTCTTCAAATACAAGCGTCGATTCATTTTTTTTCCTTACTACTTTGAGAATCTTCACAGTGGCCTTGTGCATAAGTGTTGAGTTTCTGCATACATGTTTTAGCAAAACACCTTCCGCTTTTGAAAACGAGAGTCGCCAACAGGGTCTAGGTGCCCCAGATTCACCGATACATGAAGCTATGAGATGATAGCCCATCTTAGTAACTTCGTTGACTACTTCAAAACCTGGATGAGAACGGTTGCAACGAGTTTGCAAGTCAGAATGTTTCGGCCATCCTTCAACTCTAATGCATAACACCAAGTCGATCAAAATTTCGTAGTATCTGTATTTTGTACCATTCCACACGAGCTTCAATGTAACGGGAATTTTCCTCAACTCGGTTGTAAAACTGTGTTGGTCCAGTTTTGGGTGAAAATCTTTTGATTTCTCCGTCAAGGCTTCTCTGACTAATATTTCAAACTTTTCCAGCAGTGCTTTAGGTTTTAATTTCTTGCTATTTGAGATGTATTTTTTCCAACGTTTTTCATTAATAGGATCCGGTACGTGTACATGAACATAGCCAGGATCAGGAACAGACCGGAAAGGAATCTCTTTTACCTCACAGACACCAATTTTGGACAGTTCTTCCAAACAGAGCATAAAATCAAACTCGTTGCCGGGAAGCTGAAACTCCAGAAGCATTTTCGACGGTGAAACCTCATGCCACCAAGATTTCTCCCCTAGGAAGAGTCGCTATGAAAGACGTTAAAGAACTTGGTTTAAAGAATCGGTTTCTTCTATCTCCTTCACTTCTTCATGTTCCCGGTCAAACTCAGCCTCTTCATACAGATTGCGTAAACGCGTGCTTTTTATGTGTGCCATGGTTTCGTCTTTTGGCTTCCTCTGAATCCTGTTTTAACACTTCCGTCTTTCCCGGAATTGCGGGGATAGAGAGAAGACTGGGCAATACAAACACTTGTTTCCAGGGCGTACTCGATGTAAAAGCTGGACAGGACAGCATGCCGTAAAGGTCAAGTAATACGGGCAACATTTTCGCACGAGTTGTCGCGCAACATTGTTGCGTTGCAAGTTGAAAAGCGTTGTTGCGCGTATTACCACCTTCGCTCTCAACTTGTCACGCAACAAATTTTGATGTTGCAAGTTGTGACAACATGTTGCGCAAAGTAGACCTGAGTTCTACTTTTCGCAACAAACTTTCAATTTTATCATTTGCATCACAACTTGCTACGCTTCACAGCAGTTGTGATTGCTCAATTTTCCCGCACCAAAACCGCGGGAAAGATGGTGAGTAAGCGCGCTTGACCTTGGGCATATCCCTGGGCACGAAGTAAACATGGCCGAGGTTGTGGTGGTTGAGAATGTTGAGACCCAAGATTGTGAATTTATTAGTGAAAAAATGCCAAAGGTCCGAAGAAAAGATTTGTGCAAGGAACTTGAAAAGCACCCATGTCTGTCGGAAACTTGTGGACCAGAGTATAAAAACAAGCCACGCAGGTCAAGGTCAAGAGTTCTGGATGAGTTATGCAAAAATTTAAAATTCACCAAACTGTCTTAAAAAACAACTACATAGCCTTAGAACTGCATTGACAAGGGAAGTAAAAAAAGAAACCACAGAAGGTCAACAAGCCATTTTGTTTGCTAACACAAAAACACACTGTCGACCAATCACAACGCATGATTTTCTCAAAGAGCCGCATCTTGCAACATCGAAATTTGTTGTGTGACAACTTGAGAGCGAAGATGGTAATACGGGCAACAGCCCTATTCAACTTGCAACGTAACAATGTTGCTTGACAAGTTGTGCGAAAATGTTGCGCGTATTACTTGATCACAGGTAGCCCAGGCGTAATAAGAGAATTAATTGTATGAAAAATAAAACTTCTATCAAATAAATAAACTATGACTGGTAAAAGTTATCAATAAAATGTAAATGAAAACCACTTCTTGACGTCTAAAGCAAAATATTTCAAATAAGAAGGGACATTTTCTCACATTTTGTAGCCCCATGGTGACTTTTTTGTATCAAAACAATGAACCAACCTTGTGGGATTTCGCAGCTTTCCAGAAAAAAAAAATTAAAGTATTTCTAGGTGATTTGACGTGTAACATGGCGGTGTGTGGACAAGCTCCACGTGTCTCCGAGTAATGTCTCGCTTTTAACCACTTTTCTTCGGTTATAAGCGGTAAAACTCTCACAATGGATGAGATTCAAAGCAAGTATTTGATCAGTAACTTCAAAGAAAGAGCAAACAAGCAAAAAGCCGTGAAGTTTGAAGAAATTGATTTAGACATCTACAAACCATCGTCTAAGTGTGCAGCCTTTGTGACATCGGAGGAACGAATTCTTCATTGGATCAGAACGTTCCAATTCCGTTATTATGAAACACTCAAGGACAATAACAGTTACTACATTGAATGGATCGACCATGAAAACTTTGACTCGTCAAACTTCCAGGAGATCGAGATAAAGATTTACAAAATCGACTTCGAACACACAGCAGAGCTACCCGACTTGTCACAACACCGAAATGACACCATCAGTGATTCGCACCGTTCTCTATTGATCACAATACATCTCTACTTAACTACGGGAGTAATTATGTTCCAAGGTTATGCTTTCAAAGTCTGGGCGGATCAAGAATTCCCTATTTTAAAGAATTTGACAGAAATCGCCATATCAAATCCCCTTTTGCAACACGATCCCGATACAAAGGAACAAAATCCTCACGTGTCTCACGCTAAAGATGTCGAAATACCAGAGGATAAAGCCCTTCTGCAAAACCTAGCGGCTGCAGTCAACACACTACCAAGCAAAAAAGGCAAAACAAAGTCCAAAAAGTCTAATCCAATGGCCGCAAATCAGGACACATATCCTGAAATTACAACCGCTCCAGACCCCGTGTTTACAACACCTTTAATAAACCGGAAACGAAGAAATTCTTTAGATTCAATGAGAAGTTTGTCCTCAAGAAAAAGTGCAACGGTATCTGAATTGAAAGCAGTCGTCAGTAACCTCGAAGTACAAATTACCGAAATTAACTCTGTCCTGAAATCGCAGTCTCTAGAGACTCTTGTTGAAAATAAAATATCTCAACTAATGGATAAAATTACACAGGTCGAAAAATCCTCAAAAGTACAAATCCAATCCTTATCTTCACGTATTACAGATTTAGAAGATGAAAACCAGACTCTCAAATCAGAAAACGCTAAGCTCAAAAGCGAAATTCAAAACGTCAAAGGAAAACTGAAATCCTTTGAGCAATCCTACAATGAGAAATTACACAACTCCATCGCTGACATGATGACAGAACATGGTTTGGGAAAGAAAGATAAAGATAATAATAAAGGAGACAAACGTTCCGATCAAGAAAAAGAACAACAGTTAACTTTCCCTGATGATGTCATAATTTCCAACACCTTTGCTGCCCTTCAAGAAACCTCTTCCAATCAGAGCACCAGCGATTCGCCGCCTTCCCCAAATGTGTCTGTCAATGACCATTCCCAGATTTCTTCTGATGATAACAATACAACCCCCTCTGAGGAAAACCCACCTGAGGGCGCTATCAATGATGATGTTGTTATCCTAATTGATTCAAATGGAAAATATATCGACACTGCTAGGTTCATTCCTGACAAAAAAACACGGCAAATGTTTTGTCCAACACTCTCTTCAGTAACAAAAACACTTACTGAATCCTTTCTTGGTCGGCCAAGTCATCTTATCATACATGTTGGAACAAACGATATCGAACGATCTTCACTCGACTCCTGTCTTACTCAATTCGAGACCATGGTTGAAATCGCCTCCCAAAAGTACCCGTCTTCTAAAGTGCTAATCTCCTCCCTTCTCAAGCGTCGAGATGCAACGGATCAACGCAGATCTGACTTAAATTCCAAACTTGGCACGGTTTGCGCTCCATACCCAAATGTTCATCTCGTGAACAACGAAAATATTCCAGAAGACTACCTGCACGATAATAAACATCTCAAAAGGCGCAAAATCGGTGCATTGGTAACCAACCTGAAAGATGTCATATTCAACAGATTAAGACTTCCAAGAAAAAGCATTGGATCAACAGACAAACTGATTCCCCCACTTATGCGATCCCCTCTTACGACCTTTCAGAATTCTCGTGGCCTAGGACCTCTCATGACCAATGCAAATCGTCTTCCCCACCAAGTCAACTACCCGTCACTTCCACCTATTCACCAATCCACTGCTCAATCAGTAATACCACAATCAGTTCCACAACCACAACCAGTAACACAATCAGTACCACAACCGTCTTATGCTGAAATGGCGAGGATGCCCCCTCCAGAAACAACCACCCAAGCTGGAATGAAACCCCAATCAATAAATATTAACACTGTTATGGAACTCTTGAGACTTTATGAATCTACACGTCATCAATGATACCCTATATCCTTTTCCTACTTTGATTTTCATCCATTACTTTATCTTACTTCATTTGAGTTGTTTTTTACTGCTATTCCTTAGTTGAGTGGTAGTTATAGAATATGTCCTCTCTTAGATCTAGCGTTTTATCTATAACTAGTTGGAATGTGAATGGTTTATCCGAAAATTTCTTTATGGGTAACAAATTATCAAATAGTGATTTTTTACATTTTTTCAATCATTGTGATATAATTGTATTGACTGAAACTTGGAGGTCAGATGAAATTTCTTTGCCGGGTTATGAATTTTTCACAAACCCCAGTAAAAAACATCATCGAAAGAAAAATGGCAGATCTTCAGGTGGAATTGCTCTTGGTTTTAGAACTACCTTCAAGAAAGGCATCCAATTAATCTCATATCATACTAATTTTTTGTGGTGCAAAATTGATAAAAACTATTTTGCTATAGATCAGGATATATTTTTATGTGCCATTTACGTGCCCCCTCGGGACTCGCCCTATTTTAACCCTGACATTTTTGATGATCTCGAAAACCACATTGCTTATTATAGTGCAGAAGGCTTTATTATGTTGACAGGTGATTTCAATGCTAGAACAGGCTCTGCTCTAGATTTCGTTGACATTGATCAAAATAATCATATACCCGGCGATAACCTCTTTCCTAAGCGCAACCTAAGAAAAAGGAGAAATTACGACACCCATATAAATGAACACGGTAAATCACTACTAGACATTTGCAAGTCATGTGACTTACGAATCGTAAATGGGAGGACGACAGGAGACTCCTTTGGTAACATTACTTATCATTCTCCAAAAGGAATCAGCACCGTAGACTACTTCGTTGTTAGTCATGAAATATTAAGCTTGACGGAAAATTTTATTGTTAAAGAACCAACAATTTTCTCGGATCACTCTCAACTTATCTGTTGGCTGAATATTTCCCCATCAATTTCCCCTCAAACAAATACTCCTCCGCAAGCAAAAGCATTTGATCTTCCTAAACAATTCATCTGGAATGAAACTTCAAGAGAACACTTTCTTAATATCTTAAAACAAGATAAATTCCTCTCACGATTAAATCTATTTGAAAATACTAATTTTGCCATGGACAGTGAAGGCATTGATTCTGCTACGGAACATTTTACAAACATTTTAAATGATATATGCGCCTGTTCTCTCAGATTAGCTTGTACACAAAAGAAACCAAAAAAGCATAAATTATGGTTTGATAAGGACTGTGCCCTTTTAAGGAAAAATTTAAGGGGACTATCTAACAAGAAACATAAAAAACCTTATGATGAAAGTCTCAGACACGACTATCACAGCATGCGTAAAAACTTTAAGAAATTGGTTAAACACAAAAAAGCAAAATTACTAGATTCTCAAGTTGAGGACCTCATACAAAACAAAGACAGTCAGAAATTCTGGACTTACCTCAAATCTTTAAAAGAAAAACAACGCTCCCCCTCTAACAAAAACGATATTCCAGCTGACAGTCTATTTAGCCATTTTAAACGCTTACATTCGGTTTCAGACCCCCCTTCTTTTTATACAGATCCTGTTTCCTTAAAGGAAGACATTTCCAGTTTAGAAGAAACGAAAAACATTCACAACTACTTAGATAGCCCTATTTCAATTAATGAAATAGAAACTACGGTCAAATCACTTAAGTCAAGGAAAGCTCCGGGACCTGACAAAATTCGTAATGAAATGTTGAAAGCCAGCGTACAATTCTTGAAAACCGCACTCCAAAAATTATTTAACCTTATACTCCAAAGTGGTTTTTACCCTAGCTCTTGGTGCGAAGGAATAATAACCCCTATTTATAAATCTGGAAACAAGCAAGACCCGGGAAATTATAGAGGTATATGTATAAATAGTTGTCTCGGAAAGCTTTTCACCTCAGTACTTAATACCAGACTGAAAAATTTTGTAATCGATCAAGACATATTGCATGAAGCTCAAATAGGTTTTTTACCGAATCATCGTACAACTGATCACATATTTACCTTAAGAACACTAATCGATAAATACGTCAATCAAACTACAAAAGGAAAATTATATACCTGCTTTATTGACTTCAAAAAGGCTTTTGATTCGGTTTGGCATGATGGCTTATTCTATAAACTCCTTCGGTACAACATTGGGGGAAAATTTTATGATTTAATAAAGCACCTTTATTCAAAAACTAAATGCTCCATAAAGTTTTCCGATTGTCAACGAACGGAATTCTTTAACTATTGCAAAGGGGTTAGACAAGGTTGTATCCTTTCTCCTATGCTTTTCAACCTATATCTAAATGAAATCCCTTTTTTACTTGACCGACAAGACACAGACCCTATTATTTTACCAAATGGAACTCATCTGAACTGTTTATTTTATGCAGATGATCTTGTTCTAATTTCCCATTCAGCCGAAGGACTTCAAAAAGCGCTTTCTGTGCTCGCTGAATATTGTAACAAATGGTTGCTATCTGTTAATTCAAAGAAAACTAAAGTTCTGATTTTTCAAAAGAAATGTAGAAAATCAGTCCTTAACAAATATTGTTTTAAGATAAACAATGACAAAATAGAAATTGTTAACAATTATACATACCTCGGTATCAATTTAGCTACAAATGGGAACTTCAATGTGTGTAAAATAAACTTAAAAGAAAAAACACGACGATCGTTTTTTGCGATACGACGCTACCTTGATTTCTTGAAACTACCAATTGACATAACCAATAAACTCATCAATTCGCTTTTCCTCCCCATTCTTTTATATGGATCTGAAATCTGGGGCATATATACTAAAGATGATTTTAACGCCTGGGAAAAAGACATAATTGAAAAAACGCATATATATTTTTGCAAACAGTCCTTAGGCGTAAATAAACAATGTCCAAACGTCGCTGCTAGAAATGAACTAGGTAGATTACCGCTGAAATTAACTATAGATACCTCAATTATTAAATTTTGGATTCATTTACAAAATATGCCAGATAAAAACATAGCAAAACAATGTCTACAACTCTCCCAGGAAATGGCCGATAACAACCAGCCAGGTTTGATGCAGAAAATAAAAACTATATGTAGCAAGTACAACGCAACCGCCATAACATTGAATGAAAACAACGAAAAAGTCTTCACCTCTTACATCAAGCAAAACATCAATAATGCTCTAACTGAGCATCAACTTACCCTCCTTAAAACAAATAGAAAATTGAATTTTTATACTACCTTTAAGAACGATAATAAAAAAGCAGAATTCTTAAATATGATTAAAAATCCACTTCACAAAACCTCACTCAATAAATTTCGACTAGGAAATCATCGATTACATATTGAAACAGGCAGACACACAGTACCTAAAACTCCCGAAAATTTAAGAATATGTTATCTATGTCAGACGAATGAAGTTGAAAATGAACTTCATTTTCTATTCTTCTGCAAACTTTATGACAATTTACGTTTAAAATTCTTCAGTGAAATATCTGATAGATATACACTTTTCAAGGACTTAGATGTGACTTCAAAACTTTTATTTCTCTTTAATAGTATAGATCCCTCTGTTTGTAGATCAATTGCTGCTTTTGTTTTTGAATGTATGCGTTACAGACATGATATGTTATTTCAGAAAAGAATATAATCTTTTTATTTTGCCATATATTTATAAATGATATATTTGTACTTTATTCATAAGTATTAGATAGGTAATGCCATGTATAGATATGGAAATACCTTAATAAATTGTTGTTGTTGTTGTTGTTGTTGTTGTTGTAGCACACCTGGAATAAGACACTTTTTTCGAGTTCCAAAAACTCTCACGTTCAAAACGTAGCCAAAAGGTAGTTGTATTCGAACTGAAAATAAAAACCCTATTCATGTCAATAGCTTTGCACTTTGCAGACCATAAAAATATGCAGTTATACCATTTTTAAGATGTTCGAAAATCCTAGGAGAGGCAGGCAAGCAAGAAATTTTACAACAAATGTTCCGAAAATTCTAGGTCTCAAATCGTCGTCCGAACAGATATTTTTCCGAAAATTGTCGTTGGGTGCCCCTAAAATCTTTCTAAAGAACATCAGGTTAAACGAATCCGTGTTCGGAAATGTAGCGTTGCCAACGACCAGGATTATCTTCGTTGGCGAATTGAACATCTACGTAGCATGGATCGGGAACCGTTCTTAAGGGAATATCCTTCATAACACAAACACCGCAGCTGGAAAGCTCTTCTAAACAAATCATAAAATCGAACTCATCAGGTCCTCCACGCGGTATCAAAAAGTTTTTAAAAGGTGGATCCTTGGAGCTGTGGAATATTTCGTCGACTAAACTTCTAATACTCTACTCAACTTCCTTCACCTCCTTGTGTTCTCCATCAAACTCCCCTTTTCCGTAAAGACGTTGTGATTCAATCGTCATTTTGTGTCGAATCTGTCGAGTACAAACCGAAAAAAGCTAAGCTGGATCCTCTAGAGTATGACCCGTTTTGACAGAGCCTGCAGTTGCAATTACCTTTAGCAGCAGACGTTGCAAAAAGCAAGTAGATTCCTGAAGTATCGGTCATTTGGCCGTTGCCAGTTGAGCTACCGGAAATGCAACAAGGGTCTTCAGAAGACTGAAGTGTACTCCGTGTCTTTCACAATAAGCAAACAAATGTTCTGTTGAGAGCCAGTCTTCTTGTGCATAGTGGAGCTGACGTGTCAGGAAATAAACGTAAAATTGAAACAGTCGGAGCTGCCACCATACGGAGTGAAACCGCGGTCAAAACAACAGATATGCATAGAGTGATCTAGTCTGCTACACAGCCGTTTTTAGTGTCGTCACGCAACGCTACTCAGGAGCGTTGCGTGACGACACTAAAGACGACTGTGGAGCAGACGAAGAGTGATTTTACTTGAACCGTGAAACAGATACTAACAAATAGTGCAAAATAGCAAGAAGTAAACAAAAGTAAAATCACTCTAACACAGCAACTGAAATACAAAAGGAGGAACGGATAAACAAACATGAA